TATTTATTTACTTTCTTACAAATTTCAAAGTATATACAGTAATAAATGCTGTCAGCATTCCTGAAGTCTAAATATTAAATTTTGTATATGCACACATAGTGACAACGAAATATTTTTTACCGACTTTAATATTTGATATAGCATAGTAGGTCATTTTCCTGTGTCCACTTAAGCTTGCTACTTTAACAAAGTCCTTTATTTTATTTTATTTTCTTATCGTATACACTTTTCAGGTGTATTCAGGGTAAGCATAGTTAATTTATTATTATTTATTTCATAAATAATGAGTAATTTAAATTTAGTTACTGTTCAAGTACCAGTGAAACATAATATTTTAGTGCTTGGACATAGTTTTGTTGCTCGTTTGGAAAACGATGTCTATAGAATTCCTACTTTAAGACCTGATTTTGACCTTGATCAGGCTGTAATTCACTGTCTTGGTTTCAGGGGGTGGGGGTGTTTGTTGTCAGTCACCTTATTGAAGATAGGCCAGGAAGACTTCAACATGAACTCCATAGTTTTCGTCCGGAAATGGTGATACTCCAGATAGGTGGCAATGATATAGATTACACACAAAAAGTATCATCCACAGGTTTACATGAAGTCGGTGAAACATTTCATCACAAAGCTCCAGACCGTGTACCAGGTACAAAAGTTTGTTCTGTGTGAGATTTTTCCACGTCGTAAAGTCAGGTAAACTGACGTTGACTTTTACAATGTGGAAAAGGATTTGTTGAATAGGGAGTTGGATGCTCACTATTAAGTTAGGCATGCATCACCTGGTGTTGTGCTTTGGTACCACAGGGGTGGTATAACAAGTTCGTTCGGAAGATTATTTTGATAAGAATTCCAATTTGTACTGTAGCATACTGTATATCCAGTACTTTTTTTGGACACATTGACGAAGGGGTGAAAGGGAAATAATTGTGTACAAAATTATTATATTAATTTCTGTTATTTTATTTTCGAATTGGAGGCCAGAAATGACATTACTGCTGTATCTGTGAATTCAGATCATCTTATTTTTACTCATATTGAATATATATGCCTTATTTTTGTTTCCCCTCATATTACATTTATACTCTTTCTTTTATTTATTGTGTTTTTTTTTTAATTTACTTTTATAAATACTGTATTCCTGTTTGTAAAGACTGGTGTTGATTATTTATTTATTTATTTACTTTCTTACAAATTTCAAAGTATATACAGTAATAAATGCTGTCAGCATTCCTGAAGTCTAAATATTAAATTTTGTATATGCACACATAGTGCCAACGAAATATTTTTTACCGACTTTAATATTTGATATAGTATAGTAGGTCATTTTCTGGTGTCCACTTAAGATTGCTATTTTAACAAAGCCCTTTATTTTATTTTATTTTCTTATCGTATACACTTTCAGGTGAATTCAGGGTAAGCATAGTTAATTTATTATTATTTATTTCATAAATAATGAGTAATTCAGATTTAGTTACTGTTCAAATACCAGTGAAACATAATATTTTAGTGCTTAGACATAGTTTTGTTGCTCGTTTGGAAAACGATGTCTGTAGAATTCCTACTTTAAGACCTGATTTTGACCTTGATCAGGCTGTAGTTCACTGACTTGGTTTCGAGGGGGGTGTGGGGGGGGGGGGGGGGTGTGTTGTCAGTCACCTTATTGAAGATAGGTCAGGGAGACTTCAACATGAACTCCATAGTTTTCGTCCGGAAATGGTGATACTCCAGATAGGTGGCAATAATATAGATGACACACAAAAGTATCATCCACAGGTTTACATGGAGTCGGTGAAACATTTCATCACAAAGCTCCAGACCGTGTACCAGGTACAAAAGGTTGTTCTGTGTGAGATCTTTCCACGTCGTAAAGACAGGTAAACTGACGTTGACTTTTACAATGTGGAAAAGGATTTGTTGAATAGGGAGTTGGATGCTCACTATTCAGTTAGGCATGCATCACCTGGTGTTGTGTTTTGGTACCACAGGGGTGGTATAACAAGTTCGGAAGATTATTTTGATAAGCATGGTGTTCATCTTATTGACGAAGGTACTAAACGTTTTTATTTTAGTATCAGAACGGCTATTGGAAGTATTTACCCAGAATGGTAGTTCAATAGTCCTTCAAGTTTGGATTTCGTAATAAAAAGAAGTTATTACTGTCTGCACATGCCTTACTAAGTTCCTAGTTTCTTATGTTACGAAGTTTTCGTCTGTCATATGTCTATTGTCCTTGACCTCGTTTTCATGGTTCAGTGAATGCTTGAAGAAAAAACAAGCATTTTTTAAGTGAAATACTCAAGTATTATGTGTAATAGGATAACTATATTTGGTATATATATATAGGTTCCTTTCAATATATACATGTCTATATTTGGTTATGGAATGATTGTAAGGTTCGTTTGACAATGTTTAGTTATTGTGGTTTGGTCTATTTCTCAGATACTATTTAAGTAATAGGGCTACTATATTTGGTGTATTGAATGATTGTGAGGTGTACATGTCCGACTGGCAGTTTTCATCCGATCTCGACATATCGAAAAGAAGCATTTTTGGTTTTTGTTTAAAATTTTATGAAAAAGTCACCGATGAATTTTTTTAAAATAAGATAAATATACAGCAAGAAATGCATTTTTTTTTACTACAACCAGGAAAATTTGATGAAAATGAATTATATCCAAAGAATAATTACACAAATTCAAAGAAAACCTAAGTAGAGAAGATATTCAAAATGTTTTTAAAAAAATTCACCTGCGTTTATCTTTTAAAACAAGAAGGTGCTGTATGTTTTCAAAGAATAGAAATGTCCAAGAAACCAGAAATTCTAGTCAATGTCCAAAATTAATACCCCCTTTATCTCTAAAATTAACATATGAAGGTATATTTTTTCATTTCAAATTCGAATTTACTAAGGGAAAAAAATAGCTTGTATTCAAACTTTCGTCAAAAAATCATTGTTGGATCAAAACTGTATTGTATGCCCTTAAAGTGTTTCTGTGCCAATTTAAGCTTAATATATATGTAACACTCCCAAACGTGTCCTTCCCCCCAAACGTGTCCGATCCCCCCAAACGTGTCCGTAATTATCAAACGTTGCCCAAACGTGTCCGATAATTGTTATTCGCCCAAACGTGTCTACTGTTATACGCCAGAACGTCTCACGTCTTTTAGCGCTTATATGTATTTAATGACGTCAATAACGTTGACGGCAATTCAAAGATGGGGGACACAATTGAAGATGTCGGGTTTCGTTTAGACTCTAAAAAAGGTCAAAACCGCTATCGAAAGACATAAATGCAGAAGTATTTTGGGCACAATTGCCGGAAATTAAAAGAGTTACTGAATTAAAAGAAGAAAATCCAAAATGGGGACCAAGAAAAATTTCAGAGATGGTAAAAGGAGTAACAGAAAGAATGATTAAAAAATATATTCAATTGTATTTTTTTGACAAAGAAACAAAACAGGTTTACAGAAGAAGTGAAAGCCTAAATGTTGGACATAGAAGATGCGTAACCAAATTAGAGCTAATACATTTAATAAAGATAAATCACGAAACAGACCACAGGAAAAATGATACAATCTATGAGACAATTAGACATGCTGTTTTTCCCGTAGGACGAGAGAGTATAAAAATTCTATTCAAAAATGAAATTAACTGCTCTAGCTGTAATGCAGCTGTTGAAGTCCCTAAAACAACAAGGACTAGAAAACCAATTCCAGCCACTTACCCAAATAGTCGGTGGCAGATTGACTTGAAGAAAATGCCTTGTTACAAAGGATATAATTACGTCTGCAACATTCTAGACTGTTATTCCAGGTTTGCGTTTGGATGTGCCACAAAAACCAAAACGGCAAAGGAAATTGCTGACATTGTCTTAAAATTTATTTACCTTTATGGTGCACCGCGTATATTACAATCGGATAATGGTAAAGAATTCACCAATAAGGATCTAGAAGGAGTCGTTGAGGAGTTTAAGTCAAAACAAATACATGGCAGACCGTACCATCCGCAGAGTAAAGGGAGAGTAGAGAGATTTAACAGGACAATGACAACCTTTTTTCGTGTGAAAATGAGCACTGTAAAAGATTGGGTTGAAGAACTTCCACATTTCTACTATACCTACAACAACAGAGTTAATTCAGTACCCAAGCCGTTAACTCCGTATCAAATGTATTTCAAAAGACCAAATTTTGCTACACCGGTGGAGGAACAGGTTTGTAATTATGGAATTTATGTTAATGTTTCAATTAAACCGTTCATAAAAATAATATTATAAAGATATTCAGATTGCAACACAATTTAAATGTTTTAAGCTGTGTTCAAATAAATTTTATATTGTAATAATGTAATACACTGCATATTTTGTATTTAATTTTAAACTTCCCTATATCTTAGAGACACAGAAAAATATTTCATAGATCTTAAAATTTAATTGTTTAACATTGTTTAAGGTGCGATAGGTCAACAGTTTATTTGTATGGTAACGTATTGCAATAAAAACCATTGCTAAATAATAAATTGATTGTTGGTTACTTAACGTCCAGTCACAAATATTTCATGCATGTTTAGGACGCAAAACTATAAAAGGTGCCGTTATGACAGAAGGAAAAACTATAATTAACTTAACCGTAACAGAAATAAAATGAACAGCTTAAGTTATGAAATATAATAATAAACTTGTGTATATTTCAGATACCATACCAAAATTTAACTGAAGAAGAAAGATTGTTTTTGAGAAACGCTCATCTAGATGTTGACGACGAAGTAGAAAATGAGTGTGAAATCAAACCAGAAAATAATCAGCAGGAGAATATTATGGATACGGCAACTGATGAGAATGATGACCAGATATCATTAGAAGGTATTCAACTTAATATGCTATTGATAGTACATGCTTAGATAATTTAAATTTCAGATGATTGGATAAAGCAAATTTAAAAACTAAATTATTTTATAAATGTATTGCTTTCCCTTATAGTTGTATCCGTAAGTTATGAATATTTTTCTTACTTTTTTACAAACTTTTTGTTTTACTACATTTAATAGCCGTGAATTTAATCATTACAGGAAGCTGCTCAAAGGTTTCAAAACATAATTACTTATATATATATATAGATTTACTTCACTAATTTTATAGCTTATTTTAACCAATACTGAACCAACCTATAACCATTATCAACGTTAACCTAACCCTAACCTTTATTAAATCCTAATTGAATAATACATCCTTACGTATATAACGCTGTACCATTTTAAAACTACTTCTTAAATTACAAATACACAATAACTACTTTTGTCTTCTTTGTGTCAAAACTGTAGGATCCTATAGATAAAAACCTACCCAACACGAACCGTATTCTAAATTGCAGGAAACCATAAAGGAAAAAAAGATAAATATTTATAAATGCCAACAATAATTAGTGAATTAAAGAGTACAATGCTATTATTATTCCATTATTGTCTGTAGAAGTAACTTATAAGAATTTAATTTTAGAAACATAACAACTACTCGATGACATCGCCTCGCCTACCAAGGATATAACTGAAGACCAAACTAATCAAATTATCTCGCAACAAGATTGTATGATGGAAGATAAAGCACCTAAAAAGAATATAGTACATGTATGTGTACCCCGAGTATATAAACAAACACAATTTTTTTTTTTTATCTATAACGAAATTAATTATAATGGATTTTTTCGTGCATTTTCACTTTACTTTTTAATGATCTAATCATCTGTTATCATATATTGAGCATTTCAATCTTTAAAAAGGTTTTTGGCTTAATAGTTGTATGACCACTGTTTGTGACCTATATTACTACATGTATAATTTTAAACCACGCCAATAAAAAAAAATAAAATACATTGTTTAAGTACGCTTGTTTTTAATGCTGAACTGATTTGTATTGGTATACTCAATAAATAATACTGATTTTGAAATAATATGTTTAATACTAATATTTTTGTAGGAAATAACTTTGACAAGTGAAAACGTGCAGAGCTGGCAAGTATTAATAATGGAAGAAAAAGAAAACCAGGTACACATAAAAACCTACAATAAACAATCTCCATTTTATTTTTTAAACATTTACTGATTATTGTACGGATTTAATATTTCCAACTGGACAGTAGTAAACATTTTCTTGTGAAATAAAATACATATTCAATAATTAAGATGCTTATAAATCCGTACAGTTTGTAATGAAATGTTATTAAAACGACCCAGATGCAAATTTTGGTCATTTTACCTAAATGGTCTTCAAAGAAATTTGTGTTTTTATGTTTTACATGGTTCTAAACCACATTTCAGTTGTAATTTTATTTTTAAAACAGATCGTCTTAATATACATTTTATATAACAAAATTTATCATAATATAGAATAATTTTGTATATTTAAAATATGTGTGAATGGTATTTTTTAAGGTGGTACAAAATAACACAGCTTCCCCTTACTACAGTGAAATGTATAGAAAAAGATTTGGAAGACCCCCATCTTTAATAAGCTCAGAAAGTCCAAGCAAAAGGATCTATTTACAGGTATTTCTTTATAAAAAATATTCAAAATACTTCAAAAAAAAAAACAAAAAAAACCACAAAATAAAAATATCCAACATTTAATAATTGTTCAAATTATTTGTTTACACATGCATGTAGTGTATTAAGTTTCCATGTTAGCTTAATTTTTGCGTTAATTTAAAAATGGTTTTGAAATATTAAGTTTTGTTTCAAGTAAAATTTGCAAACACATATTTAAGATTCATTAAACAAACAAATGAACAAACAAATGTTTTACTTTTTAACTTTTGTTTCATTTAAACTTAATAGGAAATTAATGGGAACCAGTCCACACATGGATTTTTCAACACTGGTATCACGCAGTATTTTGATAGTGAACAAATGTATCCCGTTGAATTGTTTGGTAAAAACTCCCTGGACGATATGACCAGCTACATGTTTTATAATGAAGGAGATATAGTTGACTACAGAACCAATCCTGCTATGAACAAAGGGACTGCGGTTTTTAGCAGCGGTTTCTGGAGAAGAGGTGTAGTGATACGAATAGATAAGTGTCCTAGACGAGGCACGCTTTACACTGTTAAAGATGACATAACAGACTTCTGTTTTCAAATAAACAGACTCCAGATTCGAATAGCAAAATAAAAATGTATTATTACTAGCAATGGTTTTATAGATTTTTTTTTTATTAATATGATTATTATGTGATCAACGCCGGTTGTTAATGATTACCGTAATTACAAATTTAATTGGTACTGTATAAATTAACTTTAGACTGTTGATTGCGTATTGTCCAGTTGCACGTATTTCATGCATATTTAGAGCGAACATACATGTTTTAATGCCTAAATGACGCCCCCGCTTTAACCCGGTTTATAAAGCTTATTTTGACTTTTCCTCTGTCATGGTCTGTGGACTTTGAAAAAAGGGACAAAAGATACCAAAGGGATATTAGAACTCATAAGTCGAAAATAAACTGATGAATCCTGAAAAAAAGTAAAGGACCTAAAGGCAAACAACAGTATACAAAGCACAACATAGAAAACTAAACAGCACGAACCCCACCAAAAATCAGGGTGATCTCAGGTGCTCTGGAAGGGTAAGCAGATCCTGCTCTACATGTTAGCTTTGTTTAAATCTTGAAAGTTTGTGGGGAAGTCAATGATATTGTGTGCAGTTGTATTAGCCAGGCACATTGTTTTTCAGTGAATATATTTCGGCATTGTCCACTCATTCATTCTATTGACTCTCAAACATTTGCTGAATTTATGTGTTTAAGTTCATAATAATGTCTGTTTAAGAGGAACCACTTACTATAAGTAAAAATGGTAAATGATATTTGGCTCATTGACTATTAATTTGCTGAATAGTTTACATGTTAAAATTTCAACATTTGCATGTTACTATAAAAAAATAAAATAGGCGAGACATTGCTCTACACGTCAACAGCTTATGTACTGTCAATTGGTTGTCTGTACCTGGAACTTCAGTCCAATCCAACATGCAAGGTACAATGTTTTAAATTGGATAACAGGGAAGCTGTTGTATGATAAATCAAAATGGGCGAATAAGGAGGAGATGTGGTATGATAGCCATTATGACATCCACCAATGTTTAAATGACGTGGATGTAAGCAACTATAGGTCACCTTCAATATAATGAGTGAAACCCATACTGGCAGTTCGGCATAAAAAAAAAAAAACATCGGTTGATTTATTTAACAATTCAAACAGTCTCCTGTGTCCTTACTTGGAACAGACACATAAAACGTGTGGCAAGTTGAACGTTTGTGAACCCTCAGCACCTCGAGAGTTGTGTTTTGCTTAATTTTCTTAACTTAACAGATTGCCTGATTGGTACCAAGCACAAAAACAATTTACAAAACCAAAGACATCACGTTACATATATATATATACATCTAAGAGTATTGGGAGTTTCCAACAGCTAATTCAAAGCCAGTATTTAAAACTAATAGATAAATCATTTCCTCAAAGACTTAACTGATTTTAATAACCAAAGTTTAAACATTGACACATTTTCAGGTTAAAATATATTATAAGTCTCATTTAATTTTTCTTTTAAGGTGAATGTGCTTTTTAGTTGTATCATTCTGATTACAGGGTGTTCCTTATATAGTATAGATTAGTATTAATTTTTCCTTTGCTTACGCCATATAACATAGAGTTTTTGTGTACTAGTATTACAATATAACATAGTACTTGTTTATTTTTATTGCATGTAAACCACACAACATAGTATTGCTTATGCTATTTTCCTATTAATCTTTTAACATAATAGTTGCTTATTCCATTTGCATGTAAGTTATATTACAGAGTATTTGCTTATTCCTGTTACATACTAATTTTATAACAGAGTTGTTGCTTATTTACATAGAGAATTACTTTAATCCATTTGCATGTAATTGTATTTGATAAATGAATATCACATAATTTAAAGTGAAGTCACTGGTAAGTGACTAGGAATTATCATTTGTTGATTATACACTCTGTTGTGACAGGGCAGATGTATTCTGGTTTATGTCTGTCTGTATATTAAGTTGAACTTATATCACCAAATACATGTACATGTACAAGTTGCTCCCTTTTTACTCTTTCATCTATTATTTCTTATTAATTTATTTCAGCATATTTCATTTGATGTATACTGCGAGGTTGAATTACTATGATGCTGGAGAGATATAAGGAAAACGAATATTTGTCAGTTTATTTTTTACTTATTTGTTAGTTCATTTAACTTCTAATTATTTCATGATTTACTGCTTTGTTTTGTTTTTTTATTTTCCTCTTAGAACAATATTGAATAACAACATAATTTGGTTTAAATTTAAAATTGCAGTAAAGTTTACTTATATTTGTATCCGTTTATTAAATTCTAATACAATAACATTTACATATAATTTCAAAAAAGCATATTAACATTGTATAAACAGATCCTCTTTTACTTTATTCATTATTCAATTAATAATCAAAAGAACCCTCTGCTTTTGCTGAAACTTTATATTTTTTGTAGAACTTTTTAATTCAAATTTAAGAAAAAATTTCACAAACTTCTTTTGACATTAATGTGAATTGTATAATACCATATTGCATTTCAGATTTTTCTTTAGTTTTATTTTTGCTTAGTTTTTAATGTTTTAAATCCATTTCTGGCTTTTGGATTTTTGATTTTTCTTAATTTTAAGCCAGCAGTAGAACTTGTACATTTGATATAGTTTCTAATCTTAAAAAAGGTATAATAAAAAAGTAAAAATTCTGTTCACGTCAAATAATCTTTTATCGCTTCAATATCAATGTTCACAATTTTCAAGCAAATATTGTCTACATTTTCCGTTTGTACATAAATTGTATTAAATTGGAATGAAAAGTGCTTTTCTATTGTAACACGAGTTCTGCCGAATTGGATATTAATCCTTTCTCTTGTTGGATAGCTAGAGGGCGCTGCACTGGTACTGCAGTGTATCCACCAATAAACCCGGTGGTCGTGTTTTATATTTATCTTTTTTATCTTAAGTCAAATACTTAATCTGACCCTGATTAATTTTTTTATATTCTATTTTTATGTGAAATCATTTATTTATTGGTCAAAATTCAACAATTATTAATTCTAAGGTTCAGCTTTCATCTTATTTTTTTATTGTTATTGTTACCTAAGGAAAAAGGCTACCATACATGACATGGTTGCAATAACATGTACCCTTTTCTTCACAGGTCATAAGAAAAAAACAAACTGATAGTTTGCTAACATACTGTCTACAAATTTTAAGAGAAGCATTCAACCACAAAATCTCTAGCATATTTGTTATTTCTCCCCTTTTGGCAGTTACATTTTATAAATATGTTATTTGCTAGCCTGTCATTTGAAAATTAAATTGTCTGGAGCTGAGAAATATCGTTTCACACTTTCAGAGGAAAGCAATTTCTCTCTTATAAAGTTGGTAGTTTTCATAAACCTGGAAGTACATGAAAAAATGCAATATTCAACCATTCCATGACTATTTTTGTGTAACAAATGTGAATGAATATGAAATATGGAATAACGATTTAAGGAAACTCCAAAATATAACTGCAATCATTACTTTTACTCGAATTTACTTTTTTACTGAACGTTGCGTGTACCGAGTTATTTCCCTTTGATCTCCACTTCGCCACAAATAAGCTGACACAATTGCGTGTCCGGTAAATTTGGGACCAATAATGAATAAAATAAGAACAAGAAAATGGTTTTACTTCATATTTTATACCCCTCTATACGTTACCATACCTATTTAAGGACTAATTTGGGATTTTTCGTAGACCTACGCAAATTTTCAGAAAAAAATTTCCACTCCCATTGTCGTTTTAGAATACTTTTACAATACCTTTCATAAATAAGTATACAAAATAATGAAGCGTTTTCACTCAAGATTTGAACATTTTAAGTTTTATTTATGTACGAGTTACAATAAGACGATACGAGGTAAAAAAAAAAACACGACGTGTACACGTTTACAAAAAAAACGGTAAACTCTGACCTTTTATCACGTGACCAATGTCTTGCCCTTAGACGCCATTAAATCGTTTGCCGTTCAACTCCCAGGGAACAACGCCAGAGGTATGTAGAGAGGTTAGCAGACATTCGCCAGCAACGCCAGAAAGCACTCGCCATGAAGAGAGATAAGAAAGAGGCCATGGAACAGCGCTATCGGGCATAGAAAGCGGAACTTACACAGAAGCTACAGGAAGAAGGAGGTTTGTGGAAGACACCAGGTGAGATTGTCAGGCAGGTACCTTCCCTACACAGTGGACAGAGAGTTAAAACCTTACAGATTCAGTTAACATTTTGGCGGTATGTATTATGTACTCCTAACACAGGTAAGATCCTTAAATAAATGTCATGGCAGGTGGTAAGTCCCTTAGTGCAGAGAAACTGACAGCCAGTCTGAAGTGTGTGCTGCACCAGGCAGAATATGAGAGAGAGGGAAAGACAAACGGTGCAACAAGTTAGTGGCCAGGCTAACCCCCTGTCTAGTTTTTCTCTGCAGGCAGAGAAAGAGAAGTTTCAGAAACTTGCAGAAGAAAGGCAGAGAACACAAGGTGGTACACGTAGTAGTAGGGCCGTTCCATACACAACAGAACCTGACGATCCCGATAATCTTATTGGTAAGAGAGCTCAGCACTTGATAGATAGACGAACCTAATGGATCCAGCTAATGGTATTATGATATAGTTATAGGGCTAAAGGTGAGGCGTAGTAAGTATATGTACACTTTGTTTTGTGATGGTGAGACGGAGACGTACAGCTTCCCTTTGCTTGACGACATGGAGAGCGCCGAGTTGATGATACACCTTATCGCTATTTGTCCGCCATTATATATCACACAGGTTCCCGTAAAATTTTGACGTCATAAAACAAAATATCTGACGCCACAATGGAAAAGTGATTGTTGTTGACGTCAAAAGTTCAAGCGGCCGGGTCAGCCGGGAATAGCGATAAGGTGTATTGTGCCCCTGGATCCAGCTTTAATCGAAGAAACTAGCCAGTGAATTATATGCGACTGTCATAAGTTTAGCAAGCTATAAATCAAGTTTAATCCACTATTTTCTACATAAGGAAATGCCGGTACTAAGTCAGAAATATGACAGTTG